GTGTTGAAATGCTATTAAAACAAAATACACGGAAAAATCAATCCAGGGGTCAATAAAAAGGGGAAGGGAAGCACGCCTACTCTTATATAAATCCTGGATTAGATTGCTCGGAGACTATCATGGAGGCCTGCTTGTGCCTTTAAAAATATTGCAGAACAACAACGGAAAAAAAAAGGCACCTAAAAGGACAACTGGAGCAATTTCTCTGAGGAAAGATGACCTCATTTGTGGTCCGTTAACTACAAGCATATAAAATCCTGCGTGACATAAATTGTGCAGATAGAGAGGGTTCCCCACCCCCTCTGCTTGCAAAGTTGGTTTTCAAAGGCTTCCAGTTGAAACTAAATGCAGGAGATTCAGGACCAATGGAAGGAAACACTTTTTCACACAGAGCCTAGTGAAACGCTGGAATTTGATGCCTGGTTTTCGCTCAAGGCAGCCAGCTTGGAGGGTTCTCAAAGAGAATTGGACAGATTCCTCTGGATCAGGCATTGATGATGACTAATTCCAATGGTTATTTTGCTGCAGCAAGCCTTCAGCGCTAGTGGTTAGGAAATGACAGTGAAAATAAGCTCTCACCTCCATCCTAAATCTGTGAGCTTCTCCAAATGTATCTAGCTAGACGAGCTAGATCTAGAGCATGATCCAGAAAGCTCTTCTTACCTTCTTGAATGTAGCTATTTTGCAAGATTTCAATCCATCAGAACAGAGCTGGAAGGGACCTTGGAGGTCTTCTAGTCCAGGGGTGTCAAACTGCCGGCTCGCGGGCCGGTTTCATCATACCGGAACCGCACCCACCCCATTGCCGGCAATGGCGAAAAAGCTGTGATACGTCGCACGACGTCACGTGACGTCGCGAGTTTGACATGCCTGTTCTCGTCCAACCTCCCATCATTTCAGACAGGTGGCTGTCCAGTCTTTTCTTAAAAACCTCCAGTGGTGAAGCGCTTACAACCTCTGAAGCACCTACAGTTTCCACTGGTTAATTGTCCTCAGTGTCAGGAGATTCCTCCTTAGTTCTAGATTGCTTCTCTCCTTGATTAGTTTCCATTCATTGTTTCTGGTCTTGCCCGCAGGTGCTTTGGAGAATAGGTTGACTCCCTCTTCTTTGTGGCAGCCTCTTAAATACTGGAATACTGCTATCATGCATCACATTCCGAAAAGGGAGAGCGTAGGTTGCTAGTCTTTCTTTTCAGCAGACCAGCCATCCCCAATTCCTCCAACTGTTCTTCAACCACTTTTAATTATTTTTAACTTTCTGGAGTACTATCATTGGTGTTTGGAGGCAGAACAAATACTCCAGCACCCCATTGACCATTCTCTTCCGATTCTTCCCCTATGGCTCATTCTCATTTGGAAGATCTCCTCAATTTACTATTCCATGTCTATGTTCTCCTTGGCCTCAGCGCCTCTTCTTTGTGTTTTATTTGCCTTTCTGCTAACCCTCCACATCTGAGCCGCAGAGCTTATAATATCAGTTTGTTCAAGGGGAGACGGGTGCTGTTCATTTAATCCTTTCTTTAATGGCTGCTGTTTATTTTAGTTTGGGATTTTATTGACTTGCAGAGGAATCGCATTCAAAGGTTCATAAATCAGATGCAGGAGAAGAATGGAGCAATTGGCTTGCTCTGTTGAAAGACACTCTCTCTCCCTCTCTCTCTCTCTCTCTCCCTCTCTCTCTCTCACACACACACACACACACACACACACACACACACACACACACACCCCTTCCTTAATCCACCATTATTGTAGTCTAGGCCTGTATTTTAGCAAATTGTCTGCAGGAAAAACTTTATTTCTGGGAGGGGGGACAAGGAGGGGACTTGATGTGCACCCATTCGTTGAAGATCTCCTATTGAAGTATGATTTAGTTGGTACTTGAGAGAATCCGATGGGTCCCTTTGTTCAATGCTGCAAAATAAATTAGTTAAATTGTCAGTCTTCGAGTTCCTTTTTCACCACGCATTCTCCTTCACTAAACGGGTCAGAAAGTGATAAAAGTAAGTTTAAAAAAGCAGTTCCAAAATGCAATAAAAACCCATCTCTGTTCTTTCTGCTGTTCTGAAATCCTCTTTTTCCCAGTGGGTTGAACTGATACTCTGGGTAGTCATGAGACTGAATGCAGTGTGCGTAGCCAAGCTTTCAATTTGTTGTGCGGTGCCTTCTGGGAGGGCCCTTGATTTTTGTACATTTTCCTCTCCCCCCCCCCCAATCAATGTATTTTTACTTAACACACTAGCAGAATAACAGAGTTGGAAGAGACTTTGGAGGTCTTCTAGTCCAACCCCCTGCTCAAGCAGGAAACCTTACACTATTTTGGACAACTCTTCATTATTTATTTATTTATTTATGAGACTTATATACCGCTTTAAGTGCAAGCACTCTCTAAGCGGTGTACACCAGTAAGCAATGTGTATATATATATTTACATTGCCCCCAACAATCTGGGTCCTCATTTTACCTACCCCGGAAGGAGGGAAGGCTGAGTCAACCTTGAGCCGGTGAGATTTGAACCGCTGACCTGCTGAACATAGTCAGCTAAAGTGGCCTGCAGTACTGCACTCTAACTGCTGCGCCACCTCGGCTCTTCATCCAGTCTCTTCTTAAAATCTTCAGGGATTGAGCACGCACAGTTTCTGGAGGCAACTCATTCCACTGATTAATTGTTCTAACTGTCAAGGAAACTTCTCTTTAATTCTAGGGTTGCTTCTCTCCTTGATTAGTTTCTATCCGTTGCTTTGTGTTCTGCCTTTAGGTGCTTTGGAGAATAAGTTGACCCCTTCTTCTTGGTGGCAGTCCTGTAGATATTGGAACACTGCTCTATCCATCCCAGGAAGCCATTTTGAGAGGATGTCTGTGGAAAGTTCTTTGAATCCCAGATATGGTCACTGACCAGAAATGATTGTCTAAAACCGATTCACGTACTCTAGTTGAATAAAAACCGGGTTTGGCTGATGGAGGACTGAAAGGCCTAATAAGCCCTGATGGAGCTGAATTGCCAGCTCTGTGCTGAGAAGTTCTTAATGGAAAATGGCTGATTCCTGCCTTAGGGCTTTAGGAGGAGGTGGGTTTAATATGTCTAGTTTAATAATTCATATCCTGTTTTTGAACACACACAGACAGTGCAGATGGATAGGAATTTGCCCAGACAGGTTGAGTGAGATTGTAGCTACCGATGGAGAAATTGCTATTATTTATTATTAATTCAACATTAAGATTCTCTGTGTGGGGGTATGTGTGTAAGACTGATCTTTATCTAAGTAGGGTATTTCCAGGGTGTATACTTCCCCTTCTCTTTGTTTTGCTTAATGTTTTGCTTTCTTAGGAGGGGAAAGGGCATAAATATCTTGTGTTTTGGTATGGAATACGGAGGGGAAGAGAGCTATAGGTGATGATAGTAAGTGCCTCAGGCAAAAAAAGCAATAAAACAAAACCTGCCAGATTCTTTGATAGGGGATGAGCTGAATGTGTACGAATGCTGTGCTGATGGGATGGGGTGGATATGTGGATGAACAGAAGGCTTGATATTAATTACAGATGAAGTTAGGCAGTGCCAATTTTTTATTTTTTTTTATTTTTTGCATTTTCCCCTAATAGTTTCAGTATCAGTTTCATGGAAGAATTGCTGTTGATTTCTGTCAAGGAAAAGTGCACGGAGCTTTAAGTGAGAGTATTCTGTTTTTCCACTGTCCAATCTCTGTGTCTAAAATCTTCATTGTGCCAATTATTTCCTGATGTAAATATAAGGAAGAGAAAAAAAATCCCGTCTTGCCTAGCCTGAAGAACTAGCATCAGTCTTGAAAACATAGTGAAGTTCCTTTCTGTCCTGTCCTATACTAAGGCAAATAAAGTGTGGAGTTTCTTTCTTAATCACTCTCTTCTTGTTTTTCTTCCTTCCACGTTCCCAAGTTCTACATTCCTTCATAAAAGCAGTTCTAAAATTGTGGAAACATCTATGTGATAAATTCTCAGGCAGGCCTATCTTTGCCCGACCTGATTTGCATAGATCTGTGGCGTCCTTGGTGTTCTCTGAGCTTGATGGTTTTCTTGCAGATGTTTCATTGCCAAACTAGGTAACATCATCAATGTTAGAAGGCAGTGAGGTATGGAGAGAGAAACAGGAGGAAGACTATGGAGTCCTTGGTGCTCTCTGAGCTTGGTGGTTTTCTTGCAGATGCTTCATTACCTAGGCAGCATCATCAGAATAAGGAAACCACCAAGATCAGAGAGCACCAAGGGACCTATATAGGTTAACTCTGAGCTAAAAACATTCTCTTCTTGAGCTCTGGTGGTACAGTGATTAGAATGCAATATTGCAGGCGAACTCTGCCCAAAGCCCAGAGTTTGATCCTGACCGACTCAAGGTTGACTCAGCCTTCCATCTTTCTGAGGTCAGTAAAATGAGGACCCAGATTCTTGAGGAAAATACACCCAGAGAGTGCTGTAAAGCACTGTGAAGTGGCATATAAGTCTAAGCCAGTGGTTCTCAACCTGTGGGTCGGGACCCCATTTGGGGTCGAATAACCATTTCACAGGGGTCGCCAAACAAGGCTGTCTGCCATTTTTCCCCCTTTTCTTTGGCCACGCCCCTGGCACCCGGTGATGTATAAGTGGTTGGGGGTCACCACAACATGGGGTCACGGCATTAGAAAGGTTGAGAACCACTGGTCTAAGCGGTCTTGCTATTGAGGTATTGGATGACATAGTCTATCTTGATCTTAGTCTCTGTTAGAATTCTTTAGGGAGAGTTAACATTTCTCATTATGAGAGTTTATGAGAAATATTAACCCTCCTAAAGAATTCTAATGGAGACCACAGCAACATGCTGACATTGTAAATTGCCCAGAGAGTGCCGTAAAGCACTATGGGATGGCCTATACAGTAAGTCTAAGGGCTATTGATATTTGCATAGGTCTCCTGAGTTTTTCTAAACTGCTAGAGCACCAAAAGCCAAACGTATTAGACGGAGCTTTTGAAACAAGTTCTTTGCTTTCTAGAAAAAAAGAAGCCTCCGAAGGGCAAGGTTCTCCACGACTGGAAAGGACGGAGAAACGCCATTCATCTCACAAATGAGTACACGGTGGAAACGCTTGTGGTGGCTGACGCTGACATGGTCCAATATCACGGAATTGATGCGGCTCAAAGATTCATCCTTACTGTGATGAACATGGTAGGTGAACACCATGCTTCTAAAAGAAACCAGAATGTTCATTTTGGCATGCATGTCAGGATTTGAGCAAATAGAACATTGCTGTCAGGCAAAGGGGGGTATTTATTAATTGAGGTCCTTGCTGTAAGGCATTGCGTTTACTGTCAAATCACAAAGTAAGACTTAAAATGGCTTACTGGCACACACATTATGCTTGCAGGTTTTTAAAGGCTGGACCTTCTTAAAGCAATTTCTTTTCTGTTCCTTCCAAGAAAAATAAAACATTGCAGAATATCAACTGCAACTCTTGAATATGAATTTAAAAAAAAAAAAAAGTCGCAGTCATAAATGAAGACAATCCCCTCTTTAAAGCTTTGAAATAATGAAATACGAAATAATTCATATTCTTCACATTTATGCTCCCTACATAAGATGTAGAAATAAACGCTGATAATAAATATTAGTTAGCACTTCAGAGGCATAGGATCTGTGTGCTTAGAAGGAAAACATGAAGTTTTTGAAGTTTTTCACTGGAAGTTTTTAAGAAGAAACTGGATAGCCATTTGTCCGAAATGGTATAGGGTTACCTGCCTGAGCAGGGGTGTTGGACTTGATGACCTCCAAGGTCCCTTCCAACTTGATGATGATGATGATGATGGACGCTGCCCAAGGTATCTTAATTCAGAAATTAAAATGAAGAATCACACAAAATCAAATTCCCTGGTCCCTTCCAAATCTGTTAATTGCCAGCTGATTAATTATGCAATGTTTTTAATTACTTGGTGGTCTCCTTTCTAGTTTCATTCATTTAGCTTTCCTTAGTTGTCTGTACAGTGTTAAACTCAGAACTGCTTAAGACAAGATTCTATCATTTTTGCATATGTTAATCTTTAAAACGTGCTATGCATTGATGCCCTTGGATACATACAAATAAACAATACAGCCACATATTATTTCAGTCATATCCGTTTTAAAAGCCTTTCCCCTTGACGATCAGATTTAAAATGTTTGCATGGATATGCTCGATTTTCATGGAAGAGGGTCCAACTTTCTGTCTCTCTCCAAATATTTAATAATACCTGAAGGAATAATTTCAAAAATGAAGATCAGTATGTTTGAAAGAAAATCGCATTTACTTCCCCTACTTTTTTTTTCTATTTAAAGCATGTGTTAGTTGAAAGGCAGGCTGAAAACAGAGTGCTTCAGAAATCAGAAGGACACTACCAAAAAAACAACAACAAAAAAAAACAACCACTAGCTTTGTTCCAAAAGACAAACTTTCTCTTTTTTTCCTCTCTTTTTATAATGTTCAAGGGATCACTAATTGCATGTTACTGCATCCTCCTTCAAGAGACCCTTCCATTAATTTTATGGTTTAACAGCAGCTGCAGCAGTATAGAGGATATACATTTACAATTGCTTGTCAGTTTGTGGTCTTTTGAGAAATAGATGCACGTTCATTTGAAAGCCAGAAAGAAAGTATATCGGATGCATCTATTTTGAAAGCAATTGTCATAATTTAAGGACTTTTTTTTACATTATGGTTCAGCAAGCTTGGCTGTGGAGCTTCACATCCTGTAAAGAGGTTAGAGGACTGCTCTTTAATTGTAGACTCCTTCTACCATTAAACATTTTTCAGTAGTTGAAAATGTGGGAGTACAGCTAATTCATAGTTGGGATATAAACTTGCAAAGCATAGTGATGATTATTTTGGCAGAGTTGCTGTATCCTTTTCTTGATTGCTCAGCAGAGCACAAATCATGCCTTTAAACAGCTCTATGATATGCTCTTGGTTTCAAAAATTTGGTTCTTCCAATGTCCAAGATAACTGGACATAATTATTGCCCTTGCAAAATTTCCTCTATTCGTTAAAAAAAGATATGCAGAGAATAAAGCAAGTCTGACATTTTTTAAATATCTTTTTGTTGTCATGAATGCTATGACATTACGGTCCTTTTATTGCTTTTATTCAGGTGTATAACATGTTTCAGCACCAGAGTCTTGGGGTGAAAGTCTACATTCGAGTTACGAAGCTTGTCTTGCTCCGAAGACGTCCTGTAAGTTCCTTTTGAGCTTTGGTTGAAACTGTGGTAGTGGGGTGGCATTCTAAACCTTGTTCAAAAAAGAATTGGGGTGAGATATTCTGAAAACCATAAAAAGAGTATTAATGTAGATGACTAGGAGCCCTGGTGGGCCAGTGGTTAGAATGCAGTATTGCAGGCAAACTCTGCCCACAATCTGGAGTTCGATCCTACTAAGGTTGATTCAGCCTTCCATCCTTCCAAGGTCAGTAAAATAAGGACCCAGGTTTTTTGTGGGCAATATGCTGACTCTTTAAACCCCTTAGAGATGGCTGTAAAGCCCTATGTAGCGGTATATAAGTCTAAATGCTATGGATATGGTTATTATAAGCAGAGTGCACAACCTAGTTGACACTTATGCTGCATGTACAAGGGTGTCATCCTAGTGGAGATTTCATAGTAGAGAAGAGGAGAGATGAGCAGGTCCTTAAGCATAGTTATCTTCAGAGGCAGAGGTACACCCAGTACGTTCCTTCAACACACATTTAGGGTGAAGGGGTAACACAACACACATTTGACCATACTTCTGCACTATATCTACATCTCCAAGCCAACCACTTTTTTAGATTTATAGGCAAAAATTGGATGACTTGATTTATAAAATGCATGTCCATAGTCTACCATTGGCTCAAGGTGAGCTTCGGTATCACTTTAGCACATCAGTGGCTTTCATTTTGTCTGTCTTCTATTCCTGATTTTTTTTTCTTTGAAGGCCAGGTTGTCCATAGGTCATCATGGAGAGAGGTCTCTGGAGAGCTTTTGCCAATGGCAAAACGAAGAGTTTGGTGGTGCAAAGTACCTTGGGAACAATCAGGTACCTGGAGCACGAGATGACACTCTTCCAGTGGATGCTGCTGTCTTTGTTACAAGGTACGGAGTGAATTCGGATTGAGTGATCCATAGGTTGTCTACAGTGCTGCTGTCTGTTTGCTAGGAGAGTTAGGCCTAGATCTGAAGGCAGCCATTGAACAAGTTGCTGAGGCTCTCCAAAGTTGATTGGAATGTTTCACGAATGAAGATAAAATATACGTGTCCCAGGATAATGTTGCAGGATCCAATCTGACTTGGTCACCAGGACTAAAGGTTTACTCTTCTAAGGTAGATGACCTACAAGGTCCCTTCTGACTCTCTATTCTATTGTATTCTACTCTACTCTACTTTACTCTACTCTACTCTACTCTACTCTACTCTACTCTACTCTACTCTACTCTACTCTACTCTACTCTGAATTCTGTTCTGTTGTGTTCTGTTGTGTTCTATTCTGTTCTAGCTTTTGGGCTCAGGCTGGAGCCCATCCTCGGGGAATTTCTTTCTCTCCAGAATATTCAAGTTCCCGGAGGATGGGTTCCGCCCCGCCCCAGCCTCAGGGTGGAAGGGTGTTGTGAGAACCTGAAATTATATTCGTTATACTCTCCCCACCCAGGGTTGAAGCATCTAATGAAGTTTCACATGTGTTAGAGCTGGTCAAGCAGGGAAAAGTGACAGTATGCTGTTCAAATAGGGTGGATTTAGAGAGGGAGATGCCAGGCATAACAATCCTGGAAGGAACTGTGCTGGATAAATGAAAAGATTAGTTTGTATTGTGATAGAATTAGGCAGCGAACAGAGGCCGGGCTTCAGTAAAAACCACATCCACTGTGCAAAATAAGCTGGCCCTGGATTCTCACAACACTTCCCTTCCAGTATATCCTCATTTTCCCCTATCCTGTTTCAACTTCCTTCTGTTAAAGGGATCGGGAACAATTGTCAGTTGAACAAACTCCTGGCTCAGCTGTTTTGGTTCCTAGGGCACAGAAATCGGCATTTGCGCTTTTTCGCTCAAGTGCTCTCTTTCAGCATGTGTGGTGTCTCTCTTTCTCTCTCTCTTTGTGTGTGTGTATTGTGTCTGGAAGGTCCCCAAATTGTACAGATGTGGACCAGTGGCAAGGATGCAGAAACGGCTGTGTCCAGCATGGAATGGCTAAGCCAAGGGGAAAAAAAACAAGAACTGGATCTTCAACATTCGATTTTTTCTCTCTGCCTGTTTGTAACTCGAACCAGACATTTTACGATTGACCTCTAAAAACACCTCTTTTTTTCGGCATGGAGCATTCTTTTCAGCAAAAAGGAAGCCAAGTTCTGTTCACCTTGGAAAACTTTCTTTTTTGCCTGTTGGTTTCAACTCATAAAGGCTTCCTTAAGTCTAGAATAGCAAATATTGCTTGGGTCATACAATCAACCAGACAAAAATCTCACAGCTACATGGTGGCTTAGCAAAATAGAATATAGAATAACAGACTTGGAAGGGACCTTGGAGGTCCTCTAGTCCAACTCCCTGCTCGAGCAGAAGACCCTATGACCATTTCAGACAAGTGGCTGTCCAGTCTCTTCTAAGATGCCTCCACCACATCTGAAGGCAAGCCGTTCCACTGGTTGATGGTTCTCACTTTTAGGAAATTTCTCTCCGAGACCCACAAGGCTTTCAGCTGTAGAATGACACAGTGTTGCTGAGTTTGTGCCATTTAAAGCTCTTGATATGAGAGTTGATGTGATGCTCTCTCATAACCATAATGAAACCTTTATATAGTACTTTGGTTAATAGCAATAGCACTTAAGACTTATATACCGCTTCATAGTGCTTTACAGCCCCTTTCTAAGCAGTTTAGGGTCAGCATATTGCCCCTAAGAATCTGGGTCCTCATTTTACTTGGAAGGATGGAAGGCTGAGTCAATCTTGAGTCAATCAGGATCAAACTCCAGGCTGTGGGCAGAGTTAGCCTGCAATAGCAATAGCACTTAGACTTACATACCGCTTCGTAGTGCTTTACAGCCCCTCTCTAAGCAGTTATAGTATCAGCATCTTGCCCCTAAGAATCTGGGTCCACATTTTACTGACCTTGGAAGGATGGAAAGCTGAGTCAACCTTGAGCCCCATCAGGATCAAACTCCCAGCTGTTGTAGGCAAAGTTTGCCTGCAATTTTGCATTCTAACCACTGTGCCAGCAGGGCTCTTAATAGTGTAATTGTTTATATATTAGGTATTTATTACTAAGCAAGGTACACAGAGCAAAGGAACAATTGACACAAAATACATTATAATTAGTTGTAAGATCATAATGTAAGATAAGAGCCTTCTGAAAGGTATCTATAAAAATTATACCCCTGTTTCTGGAATTATTATTATTGTTATTGTATTGTTATTGTCATTATTATTGTTGTTGTTATTTTACTTGAGGTGAGACTAGAAAGGGGACAACCTCAGTTTCTGTAACTTAAGGAAAACAATGATTGGTTTTCAGTTGCCGGCATTAAACTTCCTTTTCAGCTGCTATTTTAATAAGTCCCAGATGGGCCCTTGGCACTGAGGGATGATTTGGGCTTCCTCCAGTCATGAACAGCTATTGCTTTTGCACTATTTTACTGTAGGGAGCCTTGGCGTTAGAAAAAGGGATTTGAATCCAGGGAATTACCTGGAACTACCAGCCTCTTGTCCTCCCTGGTCCTCCAGAATGCAAGAGACAGAGATGCTGTGTTTTCATTTGCTAAGCTAGAAATCCCCTTTGGAGAAAGAAGCTTTTTCAGCTGCACCCTCCCGTCCCTGTACTCAAAATGCCCTATAAAAACATCCGTTTGATTTACCCGTTTATATAATAATATAACACAGTCCTTCGATAAGCCTTGCTAAGCTGAGCCTGGCAACTCCTGCAAGGATGATAGTGCCAGCAGAGTCAAGAGGAGTATGCCACTGATTACCATCCATTGGCTATCTTTGCATTGCAAGCTTTTAAGTGCAATAAAACAGCTCGAGATTTCTCTGCTTCAATCGTAGAAAGTTAGAGTGTTGTCCTACATCTGCCTGAAGTAAACCATTCTTGATGGCCAACTTGAAAGAAGTAGAATTACAAAGTTGGAAGGGACCTTGTTGGTTATCTAGTCCAACCCCCTGCCCAAACAGGAGACCCTACATGATTTCTGACAGAGGGCAGTCCAGTCTCTTCTTGAAAGCTTCCAGTGATGAAACTCCCACAACGTATGGAGGCAACTTCTGTTCCATTGGTTGATTGTTCTCACTGTCAAGAGAAGCTGTCAAGAGAAACCTAGAGATGACTGAAGTTTGGGAACAATAGGGTGAGGGGAAAGGAAGGAAGGAAGGAAGGAAGGAAGGAAGGAAGGAAGGAAGGAAGGAAGGAAGGGACTATGGTGATTCACTTAATGAGCACAACGAAATGGATCATAAGATGCCAGGTGTGAAAGACCAGATCCACCCCTGAAGGCTCAGTTAAGCTGATTTATTGCTAAAAGCCTGTGCGCGGGAATCTTTTCAACTACTGGCCAACACTAGATAGAGTTAGATGAGGGTCAACATCACTCAAGGGGAATTGGACCTATTTCACTTGTGGCTATGTAGGGATTCTAGACTGGTTCCTCTTTTCACTCCCCCCCCCAAGATCCTGCCATTCCTTCTCCATAAAACCAGGCACGACTCAATGTGTGGCTACCTTGCTTAGCGATGAACATTCCTATCATAGTTGTAAGTCAAGGACTATCTGTAAAATGAAGCATGAAAAGAAAATGAATGAATAGGAATAGACTTGCCCCTAGTACAATCATGTACATTAGCGGCTTGTAGGCAATAGACGCTCTGAAATGTGTGTCCATTTACGCAACCCACATCTCATCATTTAAGGAACGTTCCTAATCATGATTTATTATTTTCAGGACAGATTTTTGTGTCCATAAGGATGAGCCCTGTGACACAGTAGGTAAGTAAACCTACAGATGGATTTCATTTACAATGCATTGCTTTACTGTATTTACCAGTGAGGAAAACTAATTATTCCCCCCCCCTTCAGATAATTTACCTTTGACATGGTGTGGTTGTCTTAAATTGGCTGAGAATTACAATAAAGAAGAAATATTTTTTTTCTAATTCTTTTTTGGAATGGAACCCTTGTATTCATGATCATGATTGTCTTCCTTTTAAGATAAGGTAAACTTTATTGTCATTTTTTTTTACTGTGAGCACACTGGCCCACATTAAAAATGAAATTCTGTTGCCTGCTGTCAAAAGAAAGTATATATCTACTCATACATATACAGAACACACATATATGCATGCTATATACATGTACATATAGATACATACATATATAGAGATAGATAGATAGATAGATAGATAGATAGATAGATAGATAGATAGATAGACAGAGAGACAGACATACAGACAGGAAGATAGATGATAGAGATAAGATAGATAGATAGGTAGGTAGGTAGGTAGGTAGGTAGGTAGATAGATAGATAGATAGATAGATAGATAGATAGATAGATAGATAGATAGATAGATAGATAATGGCACACATTAAAAATGAAATTTAGTTGCTTGGTCTCAAAGTGTACACATACATAACACACATTTAAACATACTATATACAACATATGTACAGGCCTACACTCTTACATATAAGTAACATATAAATATTAATGACTGTCCAACTTGAATACATAACGGAAGGAGGAAGCTTGAGAGTTCACAAGTTTAATACTGTACGGAACAAAACTGTGACTGAATCTAGATGTTCTGCTTCGGATACCATGGAACCTCCTCCCAGAAGGTAACAAGGGAAACAGGTTGTGAAGAGGATGTGTTGTGTCCCAGACAATCATTTTCAGTAAATATGGTATGTAAAGAGTTTGTCTGACTAAACATGGAAACCATCAGAGTTACTAATTGCTCCACAGATATCCAAAGACTGAAGAATTAGCGTGATTGCCTTAGAAAACTTTAAAAGTGTTTCATTTGTAGTTCTTTGCAACTGCAGTGCAAAGCTTGAGGAGACCTCTTCGGATATTTCACTGTTATAAAAGATATAATCAGTGCTTTTTTTCTAAAAAAAAAAAAAGTGCCGGAACTCACACATGTCATACAACCTGCCTTGCTTAGCCTACAAGGTTCCATCCCAAAAAAGTGCCGGAACTCCATTCTGGGCATTCTATGAGAAAAAAAGCCCTGGATATAATGATGGTGGTGGCACCCATTCATCCTTAAGACTAGTCCTCATCTTGCATGATGGCATGTTGTGATTCTTGTACAGAATTTAAATGCTGAGAAATTCTCTCGCTGTCTTCTAATATATATGCTGATATTACAGGGGATGGAATAACAAGGGCTGCATAAAGAGAAGTCTGATTAAAAAGAGATCTCCAACATAATTTGAGGGTGGAATATTCTGATCCTCAGACAATTCCGATCGTGTTGGAAGTCATTGTTTGTTGTTCCAGCCTTATCAGAGGAGTTTTGACATCAAAACTGACTCTTTTTAATTGCCCCAAAGAGGATAAAATGTTACATTTTGAATTAGGAACTTTTTTTCTGGTAGCGTCAGAACAATGTTGGAATACTTCTGGTAAGATGAGAAGTCCTTTTATGGCCTCAGAACATATGGAGTTGTAGCCATTCAGCTTTAGCTCCTGTGAAAAATAGCTTGTCATATATTATTATTATTATTTTATCTTGGATGGGAAGGATAATCAAAGAAGACAGGACATGGTGAGGCTGCAAGGAAAAGTTGAGACGTACGTTCTCTGTTTTCAGTATTTATTGGAGCTGCCCCTAAATCCTCGCTCTGTGAGTGGAAACTAATGACTCACAACACCATTATTGTCTAGAAAGCCAATGGAAACCATATTTCCATGGGATAAGCATTCAAACTGTCTACCTGAGTCCAGATGTAGCCACAGACAAGCATGTGCTCAGCAAATCATGTGCTAAAACCATCTTGATGGAAGACACATGCTATCGCTTAGGAGCCAGCATCTCATTTCATCGTTCCTCGAACCCTTGAAAAAAAATGTGAAGGGTTTTTTTGTTTTTGATTTTTTTGGGGGGGGTAGGGAGAAAAGGAAGGGATATGTTATCTTTGTGCAATCTCAGTGTGAAAACAAGAGTGGGGATGATAGAAAGGATTTTGTTTTTTCTTCCTATTTGGGACTCTTTGGAGATTTTTTTGGCAAGAACATCTCCTTGTCTTGGTTAAATTAGACCTGCTAGAAGAACGATCCAAAACAGATCTAGAGACCAGTGCCAGGATTGGATTTATTATATAACTGGGCATCGGTTGAACTGTGCTTCTGTGATTGGGTCACATAGATATTGAGAAGATTAGAATTTTGATTGCCATGTCATTTGAAATGAATACAAAAAGGGTTTACAATCCAGTTTTGGGGAAGAAGAAGAAGAAGGAGAAGGAGAAGGAGAAGAAAAGAAGAAGAAGAAGAAGAAGAAGAAGAAGAAGAAGAAGAAGAAAGAAGAAGGAGGAGGAGGAGGAGGAGGAGGAGGAGGAGGAGGAGGAGGAGGAGGAGGTGACTTGGCGATTCTATGCGCCAGGTCTCTCCACATCTTCTGATCTTGCACTACTTCTTTGACTTGTTCTGTGCTCTGGCTGGTATCAGCATTGGTGGTGTCCAGCAACAGTGTTTTTCTGGTGGCCTGGTTTCCTTTTACCGCTAACTCTTCCTAACATAATTGCTTTCTCCAGTGAAGTCTTCTGCCTGACATGAGTATACAGTAACTGTGTATGTAAATTGTGTGTCTTAATGCAAGAATCCTAAGCGTGTATCGGTATAGTTCATGTATTCCTGTGAGATGTGATCAAGAATATATTGGCTTCCAAAATTGTGTATAGTTTAGAAATACTATCGGTAGCTTCCACAGTACAGCATGAGCATTCCTGGAATAAACTGAGATTTAGTTGAAGTAATGGCATACCAGCTAAAATGTGTCTTGTCTGAACAGTACTATCCTTACCATTAGCATGGAGTGCCATTTGTGGTACATGGATGCTGGTAACCTAATCAATATCTTCTCAAACCTAATCGAAATATTGTGTGAAGGTTGACCAGTGTTTGATATCTAATGATCCATCTGATAATAACTCTGGCGTATGGAAGATTATGACTTAAAATATAAGCAGAATAAATGATTTGTTGAAAGGGGAAGAATATTATTTGAATGAAGGTCCTGATTGTGTGCAGTTGGAGTTATTCTTATGTAGAAGTTTAATTATAAATGAAGTGCCTAAAATATATGCCAGCAAGTATGAATTGGTGTCATCTAGGCTGGTGTGGATGCTTATGAAAACATAAGCATAAGTTGTTGTTAATTGTATGTTAACACTTAAGTGAATGATAATAATTGGAGAATAAATGGGAGGTGTAGGGACTGTACAGTATTCTGAATGAATGTCACCCAAAGGAAAAATACTCTGTTAGTGACATGAATGGATGGGTGGGAATGTGACAGGAAACAAAAGAAATGATTGCGCCACTTGACAGTCCAAGAATGATTGAGAACAGTGATTGTTTAGTTGGCAGAAAGATGTCTGTTTCGAATACATGGCTTCAGCTGAAAGCTTTTTGTATGTATTCATGACAAAAGTATCCCCCATGAGTGATTTAATTGTTTACAATAAAAGATTGGGGCAATTAGCTTGCTGATGAAAGATTCTGGTTGTGAGTAGAATGGTTCTTTGTAGTATCAAGAATGGATCTTGGGGGAAAGTGCTCATGAAAGAAAAGGAAAGAAGTGAAACAAAGTAGAATAACTACAGGAAGAGATTAGTCCTGGATGAAGAAGTATTAGAAGAAAGATTAATCTCCCACATAGAAAGTGGATCTATGGAAAGAAGATACGGAAGCTGCTTGGACAGAATGAAACAGAATTCCATGATCATGTGCCACATCAGTGTGCAGAATTATTGATGGGTGGATGGATGGATAGATGATGGATGGATAGATAGATATACATAGAAGATAGATAGATAGATAGATAGATAGATAGATAGATAGATAGATAGATAGATAGATAGATAGATGGATGGATGGATGGATGGATGGATGGATGGATGGATGGATAGATAGATAGATAGACAGACAGACGGATGGATAGATGGGTAGGTAGGTAGATGGGTAGATGGATAGATAAGAGATAGATAGATAGATAGATAGATAGATAGATAGATAGATAGATATGGATGGATGGATGGATGGATGGATGGATGGATGGATGGATGATTAGTCTTACAATCATATAAAAAAACAAAAACAAAATACAGGATCTAATTCCAGAATAAAATAAATTTTAAAATACAGTAATAAAATATATATGTGGCAAATGCAAATAATCAATATTCAGATAAATACGTAACCTTTAGAAGATGAATAGGCTATAAAAGTTCTGAGCTGAACTCCTTAACCATAAACTTAGCACTTATGCAAGGTATACATTAGAGTCCAGGATTAAACAGGACAAGCTGTGATTCAGATCTCGGTGATCTGTTCTTCCAAATAGGGATGTTAAATATCTAAGCCTAAGAGGGGCATTTAGTGGACAGGTCAGCAAAACGGAATCAATATCTGCAATGCCTGGAGCACAGCATATGTATGTTCTCTCATGATATGGTAGGCGATACGAATTATATCTTTAACTTTAAAAGTGAGAACCAGTTTACTATGAAGAATTTAGGAAGGCTCTGCTAATTATTTGAACATTTTGTTATATTTCTGACCATAGTAGTGGTGATTTGTGTGTGTCTATGTGTATATATCAGAACTTCAAATCTGGATTGTCAGTCCCATTTTGGGGGTCCATCGTAACTTTAAACAGTCACTAAATGATCAGTGATAAATGGAGGATTATCTGTAATCTGCATTGTGGTTTTCACTTTTAGATATTACTTAAACAATCTCATGTTCTGACATTGGGTAA